CAACCTGAGGGGCTTATTTTCTGGCACTATATCTGACAGTGTTTCTCTGCTATTCATAAGGTTTTCAGTGACTAAATATTCGCAAGTAGTCCTTCACTTCTTCATCCTAATCTGTCTTCACCTGGAAGCTTATCTGTAACTTGTCCACCATGGGTAACCCTGCTGGTATTTAAAATGCCCGTGGCATAGCTTCCTTAACCACAGCAACTCACAAGCCACCACAGTACGACAAACTGACAAATGATTGGTGGTTAAAGTTTTTAGTAGCCTGGAAAAATATTACTAAGACTTCTGACTGGAAGGTTTTCAAGTCATGCTCCTCACATAATGAATTTCGATATACAATTGATGCTGGTAGACATAAATTAAGATAATAGCCAGAAAATTGCCCAAGGATATAATTCATAGTCTATAAATGCATATAAAAAGTCAAGCAGACAATATGCAAAACATGCTCTCTGACTTTCAGTGTACTCCATTAAACATTCTTCCAGGCTTCGTTTTAGTAGTAGATACACCCACCACTGTTGAGTTGATTCCTACTCAAAGAAACCCTATAAGACAGAGTAGAATTGTTCCATAAAATTTTGGAAACTGTAGCTCTTTATGGAAACAGAGTGCCTTATCTTTCTCCCACAGAATGGCTGGTAGGTTCCAACAGCTGATCTTGCAGTGAGCAGTCCAATGCTTAATCGATTGGGCTCTTATATATTGCTTTACTGACATCCAAAGCTTAGTTATATACATATTGTTCTACTATAGACCACATTTTCTAGTCTTCCTTACAGCTAGGTATGACCATGTGCCTAAAGTTTTCACCAACAGAGTGTCAGAAAAAGTATTATATGCCTGGCTTAAAAAAGAAAATTTGCTTGCCCTTTCCTCGTTCCACAGGGTTGTAATGAAAGCATAATGGTCAGCCAACTTCAACCATGAGGACAAAGAGAATGATGTTGTTGTTATTGTTAGGTGCTTTCGAGTCAATCTCAACACATATTGACCCCAGCATCTGTGATGTCATCACATGTGATGACCCCATTTGACACAGAACTGCCCTATAGAGTTTTCTAGGCTGTAAATTTTAGGGCAGAAGATTGCAAAGTCTCTGAGTGGGTTTGAACTGCCAACCTCTCCTTTCCATTAGTAGCCAAGCACTTAACTGTTGAGCCTAAATAGAAAGAAGATGGAAAAGCAACAAAAGGGAAAGAATCTAGGTCCCTGACTAACCTTAAGGAAGGAAACTTGGCTACCTACTCTAGACAGTTATGTGAGACAAACACTGATTTCTAGATCCTAAAAAAGTCTCAAGGTCACGCAATTATACATTAAATGAAGACACTACAACTCCTGACTTTATATTGTAATGCATGTATTATTAAGATATAAGGACAATTTAGAAAGTTTTAGTGGAGTCTTGGTTTTTGATGCACAATAATGGGTCATTTGGTCTTTTTCAAGCTCCAGAGTATAACAAAAAATGAATTTATGCTAAGGAAAATCTTCGTACCCTTAACAATTCAGGGGGACAGAGAGAATTCAGCATGTAGCAATGAATCTGTTTATCACAGAAGGAAGTGGAAAGACAAATGACAAAAGAACTAGGAGTAGAACAGAGACATTAGAGCATTGTGAGTTTGGGGAAGCTACTCACAGACAGAGTAGTTAAAGAGCTGCAAGTACAAGGGCTCAACGTAAAAAAGGCCTTACTTCTTAGCTGCTAATGTGTTCAAGCGTGATAACTCAGTTTCTGTTTCTCTGAACATCAGTCCCAGAGTCTGTATAATTTCAATGCACACCCTAGAAAACAAAGAGAAACATGGCAATCTCATTAGAAGCTCACAATTCCATGGAATCTGTAATCTTTATGAAATTGCATCCACTGAGTGTGTGGAGTAAGGTAAAATCCCCACTGAATAGTTTTCATCTTGTCTAGATGGGTCGGGTAAAAGGAGATGGGGATGGGATTCATTGATTCAATAGTGAGCAGTTATCATACTTAATTGTGATTGTCACAACTATAAAGGTAGAGGTTGGATAACAAAAAGGGGGGAGTAGTTAATATTGCATTCCAGGAACAGAGGACCCTAAGACTATCAAGAAAGAAGAGCATGAGCTGAACGTGTGACCTTATTCAGAGAAGCAGCGACACCAGAGATGGAAGCAGAGGCGATGGAGATAGAGCAGCTGAGGACTATAGACTCATGGAAAGAGAAAGGCTGTGTGACTAACTTCCAGAATATGCTCTGTGGTTGTTTAAATGACTATATATCCCTGCATGTTTTGTTTATATATATACATGTGCTAGAGGGTAGACACACATTAACATGACCGGAGGGATGTTAGCAGAGGAAAGATGGGTGTGGTGGGAGACACAGGGAGGAATGCAGTGGTTGGATTGAATTAGAGGTAAATACTCTGGTAGCGTAGTGGTTACGAATTGGACTGCGAACCTTAAGGTCAGCGGTTTGAAACTATCAGCCGCTCCGCGGGAGAAAGATGAGGCTTTCTACTCCCGTAAAGATTTACACCCTCGGAAACCCTGTACAGGGTCGCTATGGGTCGGAACCGACTCGACGGCACTTAACAACAACAACAACAACTGTTAACTGTTGGTACATGGAGGGGATTGCAACCATATAACGAAGCAAAGTATGTATATGATTTGTTGGAAGTCCAGAAAAAGTTTTCATGCTAAATGAAACATTCTATAATGGTTACGAGAGGCAGGAGAGAAGAAAAAATTATTCACTGACCAGAAGGTAGATAGATATGTGTTAACTTGAGTGACAGGGAAGACCATTAAAAAAAAAAAAAAAAAAACACCAAAAACTATAAAGAAGAACGAAGTCTATGTAAAGCAAAACTTGTAAAACCATTAACCATTAATGTTTTTTGTGTACTGTCTTCCATTTATCTTTGACAGCCCAGGGAAGAAACATCTGTAATTATACAGTTAGTACTTACACCAGCTCATCAACCCTTTGGCTTTTATTTTGAATGGCATTCTTATCCTTGGACTCTGGCAAATATTCATGAAGTTTGTTCACTAGGAAGTAGAAAAGGTCACTGGTCTGTGAAAGCAAGTGGGAAAGGAGACAATAATTAAGGTATTCGTTGTTAAGACTCTATCCTTATATAATAAAAAAATCAGGAAGTGATTTGTTCTTTGATTTGGGTGATGACAAATTACAATGTCTTTTGCTAATATTAGCATAATCCAAACTGAAAAAATCCAAAATGAAAGCATTTTTTTTTTTACAAACTATCACTTTCACTTGGGGTTGGAGTCACCAGGTTAGAGCTGCTGTCTAGTATAGGCAAGGAGGGCATCTCCCTGTCATTGTTTAGAGTCCTGGGGTGGTGCTCTGGGTTAATGAGCTGGACTGCAAAGTCAGTTTGAACCACAAGGTGGGTGATTTAAGTTCACCAGTTACTCCTCAGAAACCCAATACAGAGTCACTATGATCCAGAACCGATGTGATGGTACTTAACAACAACACTTACAGGAGACCACTGTGCTGGTGAACAAAGCAAGAGCTAACCCCTTAGGGAGATCCTGGGAGGTGCATTCTAGGCTGGCTCAATCACTAAACTTGAGATCATCAAGAAGAAGCTGAATAATCTCAGACAAGTCACTTAGTCACCAACGAATTATATACTCAACAGGAGTAATTAAAATTCCTGTCTTCCCAAAGTAATTTTTCCTTTGTGAGGATACAAAGAAATACTGGAGAGTTTTTGCATGGAGGGTGAATGAACCCCTGAAACTATAGCCCTGAGATAATCTTTAAACCTTAAACCAAAAATAGTCCCTGAAGTCTTCTTAAAAACAAACAACAGTTTAGCTTAACTAGTTTAAAAAAATTTTTTTAAGGTCTGCCTTGAGCCCTATACCCTTAAGAACTCTCTCTGTATAGGACCCAACTGACAACACTAATTTGAAAGATTAGATAGGAACCTTAGGGGAAGTGAGTTTATGTTACTGAGGGAGGGACACATCAGAAAATAGTTACACAACTGGAAGAATGGAATCAATGTCATGAAATTGTACATGCAGAAACTGTTGAATTGGTGTGTTTTGTTGTGTATATTCTTAACAACAGCAAAATACATAAAAATGTAAAGGAAAAAAACAGCGTACAAAAAAGATTCAGAACATTATTGATTCTTCTGTTAATACAATGGAATGTAAACTGCATTTCTGCCAAAATAAACACTGGCTTAGAGTGAAGTAACCAACTTTTTAATGTTCATATCCAATCTCACGAGATAAATTTAGCATGAAAATGAGCATTGGCCCATGAAACCAGGCTAGTTGGTATTAATGAGAACTGTAATGTAATCGCTTTTCTTTTTTATTCTTTGTTCATGTATTTCCCAGAATTCTTATTTACTAGGGAAAACTTAGACTCTTGGTTTAGACAAATACATGTGTGCCCTTAATGAGCTTGAAAAGGCATGAGGTAGAAGGGGGAAAGAGAGAAAGAGCAAAATAGACACAATTGTGCACTGAGAAATCTCAGAAGTGATCTTGCTCAATTCGTGCCCTGACACATTAGCATAGTATGGTGGTTTTACACACTGACTTTGCAGCCACGCTCTTTGGTTTTCAAATCCTAGGTCTGTCCATGATTAGTTGTTTGACACTTGGCAAATTACTTAAGCTCTTTGTGACTCTTGTTTCTTCATCTCTAAAATGAGACTAGTCTCATGTGGTTGTTGCTGTTGGTAGGTGCTGTAGACGTGATTCCAGCTCATAATGACCCTATGCACAGCAGAACGAAGCACTCCCCAGTCCTGCACCATCCTTATATCACTGTTATGCTTGAGCCCATTGTCACTGCCACTGTGCCATTCATTTCATTGGGCGCCGTCCTCTTTTTCATTGACCCTCCACTTTACCAAGCATAATGTCCTTTTCCAAGGAATTGGTCCCTCCTGATAATATGTCCAAAGTATGAAAGATGAAGTCTTGTGGTCCTAACTTCTAAGGAGCATTCTGGCTGTACTTCTAAAGCACCTGGACAGTGCTTAGCACATCAAACATGCCTAATGAATATCTGCTATTATTATCATCTCGCACCTGCTCAACATTCACCTACCTGCAACAATATGAAGATAGGTAACACTAATCTACAGTTTACACTAGCTTGTCAATACTTGCCTAAGGTCACTTGGGCTTCACACCATCACCTGAAACTACAAATGATGTGTTTGTAATCTACTAAGAGTTAGGTTGGGTGATCTCCAGAAGTCACATTAAAAAAAAA